CAATGTTTGTTAGAACCAGGTCCAGACAAGTGTCCTTTCTAGTTGGTGCTTGTACAAATTGTAACATTAAGGTGTAATTTAACAAGTTCAAAACCTAATTCCCTTTGCTAAACTACTAGTCCCCCTGTGACAGTTTGCCTCTAAATTCCCTAGATCTTAATTCAATCGAGCATCTATAGGTTAGACTGGAACAACAAATCCAATCCATGGAGACCCAACCTCGCAACAAGCAGGACTTACAGGATCTGCTGACCAGAAGCCACAGGACACGTTCAGAGGTCTTGTTGAGTCAATGCTTCAATCACACAGCTGTTTTGGCAGCATGAGGGGGATGGGCCTAATTACAGAAGTAATCGACAGAAAACACTAAAAGTCATACCTTCCAAGCGGCATGTATCTGGCGGAGGTGGTGCTGGATGGAAACTCAGAATGCAGCTACATGAAAACACATACATCTTTCGCTTTCATCTCTCAAGTAAATCCTTACCCCCTAACAGCAGGTTCTGTGAAGCAGAATGTCAGTGGGTGGGGTAAAAAGGTGGACCACTGATGCAAGTAACGTAACCAGTACCGCTCAAAGGGGCAAACATGCCCAAAAAGAAGGCATGTCTGCCTGAAGAATTAGGTCAGCCAGATGTGAATGCATGACAGGCTGCCTGCCAATCATGCATGCTGGCCAGCAAAGGACATACCATGCAGACAGCACCCTGAGCTTGGCATAAATGTGTCTAATGATACACTCGTTCCATGCTTCCGAAGGAATGTCCCCTAGCACTCACTTGTCCACTTCACTCCTCTCCTTACCTTCTTACTAGCATGCAGAAGCTTCTGTTTTACAGTCTGGAATATAGGAAAGGTGTATGTAGTGAGTGTAGAAGAAAACAGGCCACAGTGGAACAGGCCACAGTGTCAAAGAGTCGAAGCAGCATTTGTATAGTGCGCAAAGTCAGCTTTACCTTAACTAATATCCTTTTCAGCCAATCCACACAAGTTAAGCAAAAGAAACATAGAATGTGACGGCAGATAAAAACCATTCGGCCCATCTTGTCTGCCCAATATTTCAAAATACTTTTGATTAGTCCCTGGCCTTATCTTAAGTGCATTACTTTGCTGCAGAGGGATTTAGATGGACTGGGCACTCAAATGGCAGATGAAATTTAATGTTAAAAAATGCAAAGTTATGCACTTCGGCGTAAAGAATACACAAGCAACGTATACACTTAATCTAAGCGAATTAGGGATAACAACACATGAAAAGGACTTGGGAATTGTTATAGACAACTATGCAACAAAATGCAATATCAATCAGCAGAGGCCAAGGCCAGTAAGGTATTGTCATGCATGAAAAAGGGCATTCATTCTCGGTATGAGAATATAATTTTACCTCTTTATAAATCACTGGTAAGACCACATATTGAATATGCTGTGCAATTTGTTCTAAAGAAGGATATTCTGGAACTAGAAAAAGTGCAGAGGCGGGCTACAAAATTAATAAAAGCAATGGAACATATCAGCTATGAAGAAAGGTTAACAAATTTAAACCTATTTAGTTTAGAAAAACGTCGCCTGAGAGGGGATATGATAACATTATACAAATATATTCGGGGCCAATACAAACCATTGTGTGGAAATCTATTCACAAACCGGACTTACATAGGACACGAGGTCATGCATTTAGACTGGAAGAAATAAGATTTCGTCTAAGGCAAAGGAAAGGTTTTTTTACTGTAAGAACAATAAGGATGTGGAATTTTCTGCCTGAAGAAGTGGTTTTATCAGAGTCCATACAGATGTTCAAACAGCTACTAGATGCATACTTGCAAAAACAGAAAATTCAAGGATATAAACTTTCAATGTAGGGTAATAACTGCTTGATCCAAGGATAAATCTGACTGCCATTCTGGGGTCAAGAAGGATTTTTTTTCCTAGCTTGTTGCAAAATTGTGCTTCAAACTGGGTTTTTTGCTTTCTTTTGGATCAACAGCAAAAAAATAAATGATAGGAAGGCTGAACTTGATGGACGCAAGTCTCTTTTCTGCTATGTAACTATGTAAGTCTAGGATAGCCTTATGCCTATACCATACATACTTAAACTCCCTCACTGTGTTAACCTCTACCAATTCAGCTGGAAGGCTATTCCATGCATCCAGTACCCTCTCAGTAAAGTAATACTTCCTGATATTATTTTTAAACCTTTTGGCCCTCTAATTTAAGACTATGTCCTCTTGTTGTGGTAGTTTTTCTTCTTTTAAATATAGTCTCCTCCTTTACTGTGTTGATTCCCTTTATGTTTTTATCATATCCCCCCGTCTCGTCTTCCCTCCAAGCTATACATGTTAAGATCCTTTAACCTTTCCTGGTAAGTTTTAGCCAGCAATCCATTAACCAGTTTAGTAGCCCTTCTCTGAACTTCTTCTGAAGATACGGTCTCCAGTACTGCGTACAATACTCCAAGTGAGCTCTCACTGCTAATACCTCTCCCTATACAACCAAGCATTCTGCTAGCATTTCCAGCTGCTCTATTACATTGTCTTTCTACCTTTAAGTCATCTGAAATGATTACTCCTAAATCCCTTTCCTCAGATGTTGAGGTTAGTAGGGTATCAAATATCCTATAATCTGCCCTTGGGTTTTTACATCCAAGGTGCATTATCTTGCACTTATCCTCATTAAATGTCAGTTGCCACAGCTCTGACCATTTTTCTAATTCTTCTAAATCATTTACCATTTGACTTATCCCTCCTGGAACATCAACCCTGTTACATATCTTAGTATCATCAGCAAAAAGACATACCTTACCATCAAGACCTTCTGCAGTATCACTAATAAAAAATATTAAAGAGAATGGGTCCATTACAGATCCCTGAGGTACCCCACTGGTAACTACACCTTACTTTGAATATACTCCGTTGACTACAGTCCTCTGTTGCCTGTCATTTAGCCACTGCCCTACCCTTCCATCAATATTGGAATCCAAATTTTAAGATTGCAGTTTATTGATGAGCCTTCTATGTGGAACAGTGTCAAAAGCCTTACTGAAATCTAGGAAGGCAATGTCTACAGCACCACCCTGATCTATTATTTTAGTTACCCAATCAAACAAATCTATAAGATTAGTTTGGCATTATCTCCCTGAAGTAAACCCATGTTGTCTCTGATCTTGAAATCAATGTGATTTTAGATGTTCAACAATCCTATCCTTTAACATGGTTTCCATCACTTTCCCAACTACTGAAGTAAGGCTTACTGGCCTATAGTTGCCCGACTCCTCCCTACAACATTCACTAATTTCCAGTCTTCTGGGACAACTCCTGTTAACAATGATTTGGTTAAATAAATCTGTTAATGGTTTTGCTAGTACACCACTAAGTTATTTTAATAACATTGGGTGTATTGCATCAGGCCCCATTGACCTATGTCTTTACTTTTGACAAGCATTGAGGCAATCAGCTAGACCTTTATCCTCTTCTATATACATGTATGTACGTAGTGGTCACTGGATAGCATTCCCCTCATCCCCCCATAAAAACAACATAACTTACCCTTTCAAATAACGACAGACAACTTCTTGGGAAAAACAGGCCACAGCATTTATTAAAAAAAGATTAGGTGTACACTCAGTATTGGAAATTAATGATAAAAACCACCTCTGGTGTGCATATGGAGCGCTTACAAATTTGTTGACTCACCCATATGGGTTAACATACATATGTATGGAAAACGTAACTCATTGCGATATATCTGAAACAAATATAAATGCAAGAAATAGTGCAGATAACGTTTTCAATAAGTGCAGTGAGGGAATATTCTATATGGTCTCACTCACATGTAGCAGAGCCCTATAGGATAGGCTCAGATCTCAATGGCCTGCGTGTGCTTATGGTGACACAGTACCCAATCGGTCCTCTAGGCGTCTGGAGATCCTTATGCGTACATGAGAGAGAGAGAGAGAAAACAAGGGGACGAGGAGAATCCCTAGTGCGGTCAATCCCTATGTACAGTGTCAAATAGTGCAGAAAAAGTGGCTTCTCACCTGATGTGGAGCCCTATACCTGGCTCCTGGTGTGTAGGTGTCTCTGCCTTTAAGGGGGCAACTACCCTTCTTTAAGCAGCAACAATGGAGGGTGGATTCCAAATATAAAACTAAATATATTAAATAAAGTAGTAAAAACTTACAAATAAAATATGAACAAAATTGTGAGAAATTATAAAATGTGGAATCTTCAATCCTCCAGCCGAAACATGTTTCACTGTACCAGACAGCTTTTTCAATCGGTAATATAGTTGCTGCTGTTACTTGTTTAAATACTTTGTACTTCCTCCTGTGTGGTCCTTCAAACTTCCCTCCCTCCAATCCGCTGGCGTCCTTTTTCATGAACAGCTGTACTGTGTTAGTAATGAGAATGCTTCGGTTTCGGAACAAGTCACATGACTCGAAGCATCACGTGCCGCATCACAAATTGGGCGTGTTTTCAATGTAGGGCTCACAGTTCCATATCGTCCATTTTGAAGTTGGGCAAAATGCCCTTCCTTCAACCAAGTCTGTTCCTATTTACAAACCAGATGCTCAATTTGAGCCATATATAAACGAAAAAATGAAGGGAGAAAGGGGGATAGTATTATTGCATATTGCTTACAAGTTAATTCATAAAATTTACATATCAAAAAATAAAAACATCTAGTGTTTTTCATTCAAAGTGACAGTACATGCATAAAGACAGGTGGTGAATAGGGGTATGCTCTTTTAGGAGAAATGCTGATTATTATTGAATAGGTCTCTATTGTGTCAGCAGCTTATGTTCAATGATGATGTCAATATTAAAATATATATATAAAAAATATAAATAGTAGGTTCCTAGCTGGTCTCCCATACAAGTACTAACCAGGCATGAGCCTGGAT